CCCACCGCTTTGGCAGCGCAGGCGCACCGAGCAGAAGGACAGTGTTTATTAGAGGGACAAACACCAAACAATGAGAAGTCCCTAATATTACTGGGAGGAACACGAAGGCTAACATTTTCCAAAAGAGAAGTGCAGGATTTAATAATAATAATAACAATAATAATAATAATAATAATAATAATAATAACAACAACAACAACAACAACAACAACAACAATAAGAACAATATGTTAATCTTGAGGAAACAATTTGTTGTGGATATATATTGCATTCAGTTAGTTCAAAATATAATCTAGCAGGGGGCATTTGTAAACACTGTACTTAACCTTTGCGTTCAGCACATCTGAATCGATAAGTAATACCAAGAAAATAGCCATGTACTTACCGCGTACTTAACAGTAATTTACAGCAGAATCTCAGATTAATTAAATTAATTTAAATATTGAGACTGTTGTAAACATCTGTGAACGTAATCCAGAAATTCCTAGATGAATTTGGACAGATACACGTATTTTGTAAACGTGCTGATTGTCTTACAGACCTGGGGATAGTAAGCTGGGAGCAGTTTAAATGTTATAGTTTGTACGGATACCCCACACTCTCTTGTTAATATTGTAGGGAATGATTTTGAAGTAATAAAAGTCATCAAAAAAAAAAACTCCGTGACCTTTAGTCCGCAAGCGAACTATGCGACTGAGGGACCGCCGCTTGTCGGTAAATTTAGTGCTCATTTTCATCAAGCAGACCTATAACATGTAGGTATTGCAGTTAGTTAGTTAGTTAGTTAGTTAGTTAGTTATTAGAGAGGGTGGGTTTCCCCATGCACTTAGACCTGTAGTGGTCCATTGTGCTTCCCTCTATGACTCTATATCCTACCGGTATTGGTACTTACCATCAGTCCCGCCCAGCCAGCGAGACCGGCTCTACTGGCTGAGAAGTATCTATAATGCTTCCCCCATCTACCGGAGTTATTAGTGACTGCTGTTGGGCGGGAAACGTCCGCAATTTTGGCTCAGTGACCTCCTTTGGAGGTATGAGGTCCTTTTACGTGCCGTAAAGCTACGACACGGGACCCACGGCTTAAAGTCCCTCCCGGAGGACTTGTTCCCTGAATTTTTTCCGCCCTTAAAAATTCGACGACCTCCGCCGGGTATTTGAACCCGCGTACTACGAGTCATGAGCTGGGAACTTTACCTCTAGACTACGGAGGCCGCTTTAGGCATTGCAGTTAGAAGCTTTATGTAGCGGATACCATATGCCTTACATGTTTCAGCCCTATATGGCCATCAGCAGAGACTTACGTGTTAGACACAAGGTTGCTCTATGTACATTAATTTACAGCAGTAACGTTTACGTGTGAATCCATTCATAACTGAGAATATAGAGTTATGGGCGCTGGGATAGTGTAGTCTGTGTACCGACTGGCTACGGGCTGGACGACTGATGGGTCAGAGTTCGAGTCCCGGTAGGGTAAAAATTTTTCTCTTCTCCAAATCGTCAAGACTGGCCCTTGGGTCCACCCAACCTTCTATCCAGTGGGTACCGGGGCTCTTTCTCATAAGGGTAAAGTGGTCGGGGCGTGAACCTGACAATTCACCTCCAACTACTGCCCAGTTCAAGAAAATATGGATCTATACATCCACTCCCCCATATGCCTTCTTGGTGTAGTGCTTAATTAGTTAAGCACAGGGAAAATTTTACGTGTTTATAGAGAGTTCTTGCTTGTGTATAAATTACCGAAGGGCTGTATAACTTTGTAGATATGTTTGGCGTCTATCGCTGTTACACAAAAACAAAAGCAACAGACTCCAGAATATCTATAAATCACGTAGACCTTCGATCAATTATGCATAAGCAACGAGCTCTCTGCACCCTCACTTATACAAGGATTTAAATGCGAATGTTATTGCTAGAAATTGACATAAACTAAGCAAACTCATCTCTAACACGCAAGCCTCTGAGGCTGAAACATGAAAGGTAAATTTTATCCACTAAACAAAGTTTCTAACTTATATGTTGATGGTTCTTATTTCTACATTATCACCATAAAGTTTCACGGCTGAACTATCTCGTATAAGATCCCACGGAAAATTGCCTTTTCCTGTTTTACGAATACTAATAAATTGTGATCATGCGCCGCTGTGCTATACGCCCCTCACGCACTCACACTTCCGCAACGCGCAGTGATGTTCCACAGGCCCGGGTAGATGACAGGTCTGACTGGTTGGCGCAGAAAGCAGGAAGCGCCACTGAAACACAGACAGAAATACAAGTGCCTGCTTAACACGCATTCGACAGCGAGTCGCGAGCGAGGTAGGACCTGTCCTGGACTCTTTCCCAAAGTAGTAACATTCTACCCCACCCCCTTCCCTTAGTCATCCACGCGTGTCACTTACAATCCCTCCCTTGTTCATGACGATATATATCTTCCTGTCCCCCATGACGTTATAGAACCAACCGCTACGCTTTTTGTGACTTATTATCTGCTTACGTTTGCTTTGCAGGACGACATCCTCAGCGAGTGGCAGTCCCCTACTGACGTCACATGTTAAAGCCACCAATGGACTGGGCACCGGGGCGGCACACGAGTTGATCGCCCCTCCTCCTCCGTCGTCATCGGTCCTTAGCCCCGCCTCACCCGCTACTGTAGCCTCGGCGGCCGATCTGCAGGGCCTGTTTTTGCATCATCACCACCACCAACAGCAACAATTGCACCATCAACAATTCATCGTAAAACGTGAACCGGAAGATTTAAGTCACCGCCACAAGGTTTCCGGCTCGCCGCCTCTCCTTGACACAGGGACAACTGGGAGTATTATAATTAGTGGCAAGTCCGGTAGTGCCGGAGGAGCACCACGACATAAGCTCGTGCTGGTGTCTACAAATGGGGGCACGGCGGGGGACCTAGTTGTGGACGTGGTGAATAACAACGGGACCGCCATTAAGGAGGAGATCCCGTCACACCGTGGGCTCAACTCGCCCCAGCACGGTAGCCGTTCCATCAACGGAACGCCGTCCTCCACATCTTCGCTCCTGGGTGCGGACGGTGGCGGCACCTCCACAACGGGTGGTCCTATAGAACTCATAGCAACGGATGGTCTCAAGCCCCCGATGTCTTACAGTACCCAGATCTTCACGTCCATGAACAACGCTCAACACCACGGTGGAAGCGGGACCCCGTCCCCGATACCGTACTCTGACCATGTGCCACAGTATACAACCACCGCCGTGTCACAGGGAGGTGGTGGTGCCGGTTATGCGACAACGCCCGCGACCGGAAATATCCGTGCCACAAGTTCCACCGCTTTCACTGTAACAGATCCGTACTACCGGGAATATTTCACCACGGTGACCGGTGGAACTTCAGCAGAACAGGGATACACGACGCAAGTTCGGCAACAGATCCCACCTTACGCGGACAGTCCCGAAGGATCTGGGGGTGGTGGCGGTGGTGGTGGGGGTGGTGGTAGTGGAACGTCGAGCACAACGGCGTCCATAATGGAGCGTTACGGACGTAGCAACGTTTACCACAATAACAAGAGTGCTGTGTCAGCAGCCACTGTCGCGGGCCTCACGGTGGATCTTCCCTCGCCTGACAGCGGAATTGGAGCCGAGGCCGTCACTCCGCGCGACCAGACAGCCATACAGCAGGTGAGCCTCCGTTTTTGCTTTCTTAGATCTATTTGTCATCGGTATGTCAAGCTACAGAACCAAAATATCTGTTTTGGTATTTCTGAGATGAAGCTTTTGCTATCACTGAGCGGGCCTCATGTTCTATAATAGGAAATTTCCTGATCACGCGAATATTTTGGTCCAATACTGCAAAAAGGAAATTCTTTACCATGAGTGTTACACTGACGTATTTCTTCTGCGATTTTCGCCGACTTTGCTCTCTAACCTGTCCCATTTTTGATCATCATCATCATCATCATCATCATCATCATCATCATCATCATCATCAGTAGCAGCAGCAGCAAAACAGTCATTTCGAGCCATACCTTCCTTAGAAAATTCTGTTAGACTCGTCTATTCCATCGTGAATTAGTCCGTCCGGTTTTCACTTCTTCTGATTTTGCAACAGTAACTTTTTACAGAGCAAGGTCGTCAGCCTGGCGTCACACCTTCAAATCTGGAGGACCAGGTCCCTGTATTTATGTCTGACAGTGACAGGGTGGCCCAGTTATACCCCCAAGCACCATGTTTGCTTTTCGTCGCCTTCTACGACTCGCAGGTCTAAGGTGAAAGTTTTCTAACCCATCTCCACACGGGACCTGTTGTGATTCGGTGAGGTTAATTCTATTTGTAGCATCATATCATTGAGCAGGGATCTGGCCATAGGAATAACACAACAAGCAAGTACAGGAGTATAGCCCGCACTGACATCCTGTGCGAGATTCGAACCCGAAGTCCTGGCGTCAGAGCGGTCTAGGACCGTGGAGATGAATGTGCATGAATATCAGCTGAAAAATGAATTGGCCGGCAGCTAATAACAGAGCTGCGCGTTTGTAGCGAGCAGGATCACACAGAACCTCAGACGAACCAGACTTGTCGGTGTCATTTTTTCGAGACGTATTGTTTCCTGGCGTAAATGAGATGATTATCGTTTCCATTTAGTTACCAAGGATAGAGAAAAACAAAGTAAGTTAGCACTAAAACGCATAAAAAACTATGGAATGTCGGAAAGTACTTACAGATGGCTGAGAATTTCGCCTGTAGGTTTCTCATTGACGTGCCAATACCATCTACCAATCACATTCCAGCATCCATATGACGTCACATTTAATTTGTGATACAAGATATAGTACAGTGTAACAGTGGCTTACGTACGTATCTCTAGGCCCTACAATTACGTAACAGAACTTCACAAATTTAAGTATAAAATTAGAAGAGAAATTTAATGGTACGATTAATTAGTAAGTTCGGATGAATGCTTAGCGACTGTTGTCTCGTAGACATTTACACGGTTCTTAATTAAAAACAGGAAACTCTAACTATTCTGACCATAATATTTATCTGTGTTTAATTTTCTTTCGGTTCCACTACCGTCAGTCAGTCTCATGCTATGAGATTTGTTAAAGGTGTAGACCTCGGCCTATAGAACTGTTCATTTTTAGACAGAAATGCAAGATCACCGTTGAAATATGACAGTAATGAAGATATTACATTACACGAATGCAGGTGCACAACATTTTCAGGATTACTAGCTTTTTGCATTTCGTTTGGCGTCCGGTGTTCTAAACAGATATTAAGAACACATCATATCGAAACTGAATCCCTTTCCGAAGCGATCTATTCTTTAGTATTTCATTAGAATATCGGATTGTGGGCGAATTCCACAAAACTAGTAATCCTGAGTGCCCTACACCATCATCAGAACCCTTTACAACACAGACATACGCAATATTTTGTTACATATGTATAATACCCTAAAATGTCTCTCAGTGTTACAGGTCTTAGTCGTATTTATGTCTTAGGCTCCGTAAGCATAGGCTTTTAAGCTGTTTTTGTAACGAGATTATTTTACAAATAGTATCTAGGACCCTATTTAAGAATTCGGTTACAGGCTTATTAGACAGAAAGGGCCGATACGATTTGGTATAGAATCTAACTAAACTAACTTCGTGAAGCTGAGCCCTTCTTGAGAAGTCGCCAATTGTGCAGCTACTTCCGAATTTCTCAGCATTTTATGGAACCCAAAGGTTCATAGCTGTGCTCACAAGAACCCTCCAATGGTTCCTATCCACAGCGAGATCAGTCCAGTCCATACCACCTCCTATTTCTATAAGATCTATTTAAATAGCATTCATCCACCTATGTTTTGTCTTTCTAATGATCTCTTTCCTTCTGGCTTACCCACCAATAACCTATATGCATTCTTATTCGCTCCCATTCGTGCTACATTCCCTCGCCATCTCATCCTCCTCTACTTCATCATTCTAATTATATTTCGAGAAGAGTACAAGTTATGAAGCTCCTCGTTGTGTAGTTTTCTCCAACCTCCTGTCACTTCATCCCTCTTCGGTCCAAATATTCTCCTCAACACACTATTCTCAAACACCCTCAGTCGATGATCCTACCTTAATGTCAGATATCAAGTTTCACACCCATACAGAACCACAGGCAAAATTATAGTTTTGTATATTCTAATTTTTATGTTTTTGAACAACAGACGAGAAGACAAAGGTTTTCGACTGAATGGTAGCAAGCATTATCCGAGTTCAATCTCTTCTTAATTTCCTCCTGAATCAGGTTTCGATCTCTTATCGTTGTCCCAAATATCTGAACTGTGCCACATTATCAAAACATCTGTTTCCTATCTTTATGTCATGATTTTGCCCTGCATTTTGGTGACGAGACAGCAACATATACTTAGTTTTCTCTGTGTTTACTTCTAGACCAACCTCTTTACTTGCGTCAATTAAAGTTTGTGTTTTTGTTTATGGTTTCTACATTATCACCCAGTAGATTCACATCATCGGCATAGACCAACAGCTGATGTGTCCTGTTTAATTTCAATCCCACCTGGTTTCCCTGGACCTTCCAAATGGCATATTCTAAAGCAAAGTTGAAAAGGAGTGGCGATAAAGCATCTCCTTGTTTTAGATCATTCTGGATAGGAAATTTATCAGACAAATGTTTACCTACACGGACTTTACTATGCTTTTCGTTTAAACACTTTTTATTCAACCTAACTAGTTTCACGGGTATCCCAAACTCTATCAGAATATTGTACAATACTTCCCTCCTAACTGAATCATAGGCTTTCTTGAAGTCTATGAATAGCCGATGTACTGTCCATCGTACTCCCATTTTTTCTCCAATATCTGATGAATGCAAAAGATCTGATCTGTAGTTGGTCAGTTAAGTCGAAACCCACATCGATGATCCCCAAGTCTGTATTTCAGATATTCCCTCTTTTTATTCCCGAAATACTTGTTGTCTTACGTTCAGATTAGCCCATTTATTTCGCTTGGAATCTGTAACATTTGCAGTTGGGCTTGTTTTATTTGACCTAAGACTTCTGAACATCCTTCGTCGAACTTCAGTTCATAATAATCTACCATCTCTTTGACTGAAAATTTGATATGCTCTCTAATACTTTCCGAAGCTCTATTAATATCCACCTCGGTGTCTAAGATTCCCAAAGCTGCGAACCTATTTGAGATTTCAACTCAATACTGCTCTTTACCATCTACCTCGTTTAATTTCTTGATATTGAACCTCTCCATATGAAATCTGCCCTTTGTTGTTTACTCATTGCCAGTCTTTCCCTAAGTTTTGCCACCACCATGTAGGCCTACTGGTCAGTATCACAATCTTCTGCCTTGAATGATCGGACATCAAGTGTATTTGAATACCGTTTTGTGTCTATCAAAGTATGGCCAATTTGATTGTGAGTCTTTTCATCAGGAAATGTCCAAGTAAATTTATGGATGTGGGAACATTGTACTTTGGATAGTAAAATTTTTGGATATGGCAAGGCTGACTATTCTAAGTCCATTATCATTTCCAATTGTTGGTTTGAAAATGTCTTCCCTACCTACTTTGGTATTGAAATCTCATAACAAGATTTACATATTGTGTTTCGTTTGTATAGAATCACAGTACCAAATTTCGCATAGAACTATTGAGTAGTTTTTTTTTCTTGGCATTACAGCCGCAGTGGGTCTAGGCCTACCTCCATGAACTTCTCCTTTCACTTCGATTTCTCTAGATCTGACACATTCAGTAGGACTCCTTGGGCGGGTGATCAGCTCTTCGCAAAGATTGAGTAGTTTAGAACTTGAAATATTGTTCTGATCGAAGTTAGTCTTCCGTAAAGAGATTTCGGGTGTATTGAATGTTGTTAGTTAAGTGTTGCTGTAAGAGTAAATTTTTCCCCATCATATTCTTGTCTGCGTATGAAAAACAAAAGTATATTCTGTTAACAAAAATCGCTATGGTAACTAGCCTTGACCTTGAAAACGTTAAAAGTTAATGTAGCAGCAATATTATGAAATCTTCAGCCCTTTCTTTTTGCTGTGTTTTAGGCTTTGTATATGAACATGTAAATCAATCTGACAGTAATTGCGATTTGGGATTTTCAAGGCTAACATATAATATGTTTTCAGTGTTTCACTGAAGGTCGCTTCCTTAGCAGTCTGATTTCCAGAGCCAGCGATTGCGTCTTACATTTTTATCCTACCTTGACGAATGACACTCTCTGGCCGGTTCTCTTTCATAATGAAATATAAAATTATGAATCTTATAGACAGGCGATAGGACTCCTTGGACGGGTAATGTGTCTGTCACTAGGCTGGTATCTATACAGGACAATGTAAACATAGAATAAACACAGAGCCTTGAGTGGAGTTAGAACCCACGATTCCAGTGTGTGAGTGCGTGAAGATTTTTAGTGTCTTAGATAAAGCGGCCACCGTGATTGTCGCGTCTTGTACTTAATACTCATAAATAAACAAAATACTGATATAGGCATGAGGTGCTGACTAATGTACATCTAGGCCTACATAGTGTAGAAAATCGAAATTAACGGCCGTGGGAATTCGTTACGCTGACCATGCGACACCCTCTATCCCCTAAAGTTGGCACTAACTTCACCGACAAGCGCGGTCTCTCGGTCGGTATAGTTCGCTTGTGGACTAAAACCGCGG